CAGAAAGGGGCAAGAGAGAACGAGACGGGGAGAGGAGAGGGGAATTTGGAGTCAACTTTTGCCGCCTGATTTGGTCAACGCAGCCTGTGATTGGCCCAATTTGGTAATAATCCTAATGCCTCCCGTGTTCGTTTCCGAGCTCCTTGGCTCGAGGCACACTAGTGTGTGCGTGCTACTGATGTAATCATGATATCTCCGGATCTTCCTGATACTAACGGAATCCACGGTGATTTTGGTAGCGTCCTGTTTTTTTAACCAACTGACAGTGTTTCTTGATATAAGAAGAAAATATAATCAAATAAACGTAGAAGGCGTGAAAGGGCACGTAACCTAGCGGTAGCATCTTAGTTTACCTGCTGAAAAAAAAAACAATATACTGAAATTTGATGTTTATGTTGAAATGTTGTGAGAAGAAAACAATGTTCCGTGACTAAAAAGTAGCTCAAGCGAACAGACAACTCAAACTTTGTGGCCAGTCGGCAACAACAACCATGCATAACGAGGGCACCACAAACTCAACAAACCTCTATCAACAGCGCTCGTCGCTGCAACACACCTCAAGTCTTCTATACTGTGGACATTGAATACCCTTGCTCTGGTTTTCTCAAATCAGAAAAACGAGAGAGAAGCAAATTGCGCCGCACCGACAAGGCCACTGTTATGCGGGACCCATCGCCATGGTGCCATTGTAGCTCCACAACCCCAAACCGACGTTTCGGACTTTCTCCGAGGCTACTCTATAGTCACCACCATGGAAACACAACACTAGGGGATCTCGCCACATACGTTGTTGGACTCCACACCTCACTCTCGTCGCCTTGAAAGAAACCACAATATATGGGGCCTCGCCACATTCGCCGCTAGACACCATGTCACGGATCCATTTTTTGCACTGACATCGGAAAGGATTATAGCATTGCTCCATAACCTCAAGAACTCCACCTTTTGTGCACCCGCCATGGGCACCACTAGCATGCTGGTACGCCATCCGTTGACGATGCCCCACACCAAAGTAGTTGTAGCCATGACGACTACCTGCTATAGGCCACTTCAAGTTGAGTTGCCACACGTTGTTGTTGCTGCAAGCTTCGCCTTCCAAACATGGTGGTCGTGCATTCCTCCCGCACCACCGTCTATCGTCACAGCCTCGGCCTACGCCCAACTCTAACATTGCAGCCTTCGCCCAGTAGGCTCCCTGAAAGTACATCTAGCCCTTTAGTGGGTTTTTGATGATTGAATAACAACGTGATTAAAGGTCTAACCCGTTTGCTAAGTGTGGACATGTAATAGGTTATCTCACAGGTACTTAATGAAAGCCAAAATGATGTGTTGTTGTATAAACAATCTAGTTCAAGCACACGACAACAATGCAAATGTAATTCATGCAAAGACTTATTTATTGTGGGATTTCCATGTACTATGTGAAAGCAAGCCCGGTAAAAATTAGTTGATGAGACATGAGGGATTTGCATATGGAATGGTCTCATATTTGAAGCTCGCTAAATTCAAATGAAAAAGATAACAATACAAATGAATGGATGATTCAACATAAGATGTGACTTGATGGCTTGAGATGGTGAAGATAGCAAGGAAAGGCTTTGAGGTACTAAGCAAGGGTGAAGGGCAAGCGACGGCTTGGCGGCCGAAGAACCTAGCTAGGATGAAAAAGAAAGTACTTGCATTTAGTTGAGGTACTAATCAAGCTATGATGGTCATATTGATGTAGAGGATCAAATCTATAGTGGACAAAGTGTTGGAAGTGACTTGATGCATTTGGAGTTATTCATATTTAATGAATGGAATCAAGTCACGTGCTCAAGATGGCTATGCTCAAGTGATAAAGATCATAGTTGACATGTTAACACCCTCACTTTATGAAGATTGGAATACACGGCTTCAGTTGAAAGAGATCAACTCAAAAGGTTTAAATTCGTTATACTCTTTAAATTTGAGTTAATAAGAATGTCGTACTATTAAGAGGGATGCATCATGTTGATAGATAATGTTTCATAAGTGTTCAAGCCAACCCATGTGAGTTTTGAGTATTTGAGAGACAAAAGAGTTAACCTGTTTTTGCTGGTCTGCCGTATTGATACCGGACGTGTCCGGTATTTGTCCAGCAATGGTAAAGTTGTTGTTCTCGGGTTGGTTCGTCGGGAGTTCCAACGTGAGTCGGGAGTTTCGACGGTCGGGAGTTCCGGCAATAGTCGGGAGTTTCGATGTCTCGTGCTTAACTGACTTGGAGGGTTCACTGTCCTGGTCATACCGAACGTGACCGGTATGAACGGCCAAAGGCCAACGGCTAGTTTTCAAAAGCCTTGAGAGTCGGGAGTTCCGACGTGAGTCGGGAGTTCTGACGGTCGGGAGTTCCGGCATGCGTCGGAAGTTCCGACACCTCACATACTTTAACTCAGTTACCATAGTTTTCAAATGTGCTGAGGGTCAGGAGTTCCGACGGTCGAAAGTTCCGGCATTCATCGGGAGTTCCGACGCCTCACAACTTCAATGTAACTCAGTTACCATTGGCGCAGTGTAAGTCCGGTATGGCAACGACTATAAAACGGCTAGTTTTTCCAATGGGGCTATAAATACCCCCAAGCCTCCACCTTTGAGGCTGCTGATTCTGCTGGTTGCAATATACGTTTTTGAGCCTTGCCAACTCTCCCAACCCCTCTCTTAGTGAGTGTGTGATCCAAATCGCAAAATCCATTTGTGGGTTAAGAGAGAATTTGAAAAAGAGAGCAAGCCACCACTTGAGCACTTGTGCATATTGTCTACTTCGTGATTTGCATTTGTTACTCTTGGACTCTTCGGTCCTAAACGGTTAGACGTCGCCGGAGAGCACCCGAGAGATTGTGGTGTGCCTCGAAAAGTTTGTAACGGTCGATTCCGCCACCTCGGAATCAACTAGTGGAAGGAGAAAAAGGAGTTGAAAAAGACTCCGGCTAGAGTAACCTTCGTGGTACCCTCTAGGGCTGACCTTCGCTGGGTCGCCCGTAGCCCCCTCAACAGAGATTAGGACTCGAACGAGTCTGAACTTCGGTAAAACAAATATCGTGTCTCAATTCATATTTCATTTGATATTTGTGTTGCTCTAGCTCTTGTGCAGGTTCTCTGTGTATATTGTCATCTCCAGTAGATACCTGCAGTTTGGTTTGAAGATAGAAATTGAAAGGAGTAAGTTTGGGGCTGCTCTGCAGAAACCGTGCATACCGGACACGTCCGGTATTTCTTGCCTGTGCTGAATATATTTGTTCTTTGTTCTAACTTTGTGTTGCAGGGTTGTAGCTTCTAGATATATTCTTTATACCTTGTATACTCTGTGTCTAACTTGTGAGGGGTGGTATTACTCTTAATTTAGAATTTCCATTTTGGAAACTCCCTTTAACTAATCATTTCTGCATTTAAAGGTGTTAATTTTTAGAAACGTCTATTCACCCCCTCTAGGCGGCATCCTAGGTCCTTTCACTCCCTCGTCGCTCTTTGCTCCCACAAGCGCCCACCATCATCCTCACACCGTAGCCTCAACCATGGGGACGCTTCCAACAACGCTACGCTCCGCCGCTCGCCCACAAGCCACAACAACCACCCTGTCGAGATCCTCTGGGCGGCCGCGATCTACCACAACCTCTCATTCACCTGTCCTACCCCCTTAGTTGATGAGTCGAGCAGGCCACGGGAGACCTTGCCAACTCCATACGTACGCGACACTCGATGTCGATCCGCTGCATCCTGCCCTCAAGCACATATTGACTTGCAAATAGGATAAAGAAAAATGAGGCCGCCAACGGATGTATTGGATGAAGAAGAAATGAGGCTCCCTCCCCCTGACGTGTGAAGAAGAAAAATGAGGCCGCCAACGATAGAACATCATGCGGACTACATAGGTTGTTGGGCCCTTAAAGCAGCAAGAAAAATGAATTGCCAAAGGGAATGATGCAAGGAACCCCCAAATTAGCTAAGCTAAACTTAACTATCAACCAATTGACTGGCTTGACTTCACATGATTAACTTAGTCGCCCCTAGGCCACACCACCCATGTGCCCCCCCCCAAGCATAGATAAAACACAGGCTGGATATCAAACATAGTCACAACCAAGTCTTCATTAAGCTTTACAACACATGTTGTTGAAGCAAATTGAGTTCACATATTACACTACGGAAATCTAGATTTTGGTACGATAGGTTATATTACAGGGATATTTGGATTGGTGCCATTACATGCCAATATAATCCCCCTCCCCTGAAATATGACGACTATACGCCAGATGAGACCTTGGGCCCGTTTTCAAGCGCACATGATATACGGTCAATTTTGTATACGAGGGAAAAGGCACCCAGTTTGCCCGTGTTCGTCCTCCTCTCTCAGTCTCTCCTCCACTCAACTCCTCCAACTCTCATCTCGGTGAACTCTAAGTGGCGATCTCCGATGGTGACCCCATGTAAACAAGGCCCGTGTCAATCTTTCTCACATTTTGCCAAAATGCTCAATAAACGATCGGCATGAGTACTAGCATCTTACTCAGCTTGTCATTCCCATACATACACGCATGATACGTATGTGGTAATTAAGTACGAAATATATGCTCAAATAAGCTAAATCTTTCTAATTTTTATGAGAATGTCTATGGCATTTTTTCTACTAACGTGTCCCGTAAGAATTAACATGGAGATTCTATTATTAGCCCGATTGATAATGGTAAGAAAAGAGGTATATGCTCAGAAAAAAACTAATTAATCACGTTTGGGTCCAACGATGATTCTGCTTATTCTTAGAGAATACGTACATTCTTTACTTGATAATATGCTCCTGAATTATTTCTCCTTTTTCATGTTATTATCATATATATTATTAAACAAGCTGGTTTGAATCTATATTAACCACCGATACAACACCAATAATTAGGGCCGGGACACTTACAAATACATCAGTACGTACGATACAACAGCGATTTATAGTTTGGGTCTCAATTCGTTCTCTGAATCAGTAGGCGCGTCGTCTACAGGTACTTGGCGTCAGTGACCATGTCGATGCCGGCGCCGGCGGCTGAGGAAGCGGCGGCGGTGTTGCGTCCGAACCTGGCGACCGCGCAGTCGGCGTCGAAGAGTCCCGAGGAGCGGAAGGTGTCGGCGCCTCCCATGACGGGCATCTTGGCAGTGACGTTGAGCCTGTTGACGTAGTCGGTGCGGTAGGTCTGCCCCAGCACGCCGTGGACGTCGTCGGTGAGGTCGTAGAACTTGAACCCGATGTCGAGGTGCGCGAGGCAGTCGTCGGCGCCGACGCCGTACCCGTGGACCCGCGAGTCCTCGGCGGTGATGGGCACGACGTTGGCCACGACGCGGAAAACGCCCCTCAGCTCGACGACGACGGTGTTGACGCGCGCGGTGCGGGTGACGGACAGCCCCGGCGCGGCGGGCGGGGACCACCGGGCGCCGATGGAGGCGGGTAGCGCGACGTCCTCGTCGTCGAAGGCGAGCGCGAGGTGGTCGGAGGCGGCGTCCCACGTGGCGGCGCCCCTGGTGGCGCCGACGTAGAGGCTGTGGTGCGCGAAGCGGATGCCCAGCGCCTGGATCCACGTGAAGTCGCGGTTCGTGGCCGGGTTGTGGTTGCCGATGAAGTGCGCGTTGATGTGGAGGCCGGCGTCGGTGACGATGCAGAAGTCCTGGTCCTTCTTGCCGTGGAAGTAGAAGGTGTTGCCGTCGGCGCCCGTGAAGCGCGGGTCGCCGCACGACACGCCGGGGTAGAAGTCGCACACTGCACACAGGTCCCGAACGAATGAATAATTTGGTTGTTGGTCGAAGGAAGAAGAAGCACAGTGTATGAGTAGTACTTACAGCAGAAGGTCTTGCAGGTTGGGCAGAGGACGAGGCACTTCTTGGGGCAGCGGGCGGGGCAGGTGGCCGTGCACCCGGGCCGCTTCGAGTTCTTGTTGGTGTCGGTGCAGGTGAACTTGCTGTTGCGGCGGCCGTCCAGGTTGATCACCTGCATGTTGCCCGGCCCCGGCTGCTGCGCCGACGCCGTCGTCATCAGAGCCATGCTGTAGAGCAGGCTCGCGCCCACCACGGCGGCCACCGTGGCAGCGGTCGACGCCGACCACCGCGCCATTGCTGCTGCTGTTATTGAGTCACTACTGCAGCAACGCAAGCTAGCACACGCAGCTGCTGGTGAGCTGGAGGCTGGAGGCTTGGAGCTCTTGCTCTTGATGATGGATCTTTGCTAGAGCGCTGCTGGCTCTAGCTCTAGGACTCTAGGTGATGGATGGAGGGAGGGCGAATTGAAGGGGCAATGAGGGTGTGTCTTATACTAGTACTACGTACTCTCACTCATGCACGGCAGCTAGCATGGCAATTAGCCAATTAGCGAGCAATGGGTTAAGCTAAGCATGCATGGCCGGCGTTGACCGGCCGGCCCTCAGGTATAGTCAGGTGGACGCTAATAATGCTGGCTGGAGCCTGGAGGGAGAGTACGTGCCGGATCAGCAAGGCAAATGGCCTTTTCTTTTCCTTGCAGTTGCAGCTGATCAAAGCTTGGCCTAGTTTAATTTTTTGTTTTGGCTGAATAATAATGTGTATTACGAAGTGCGTGTCTGCGTATATATAGCTTGGAAAGGTGAAAGTGGACTAAATAGGATCTGTACTATATGTAGCTGCATGTGCGTGCTATGATTCATGCATGCATGTGTTTTCTTTTCCAACATTTATCAGTGCTAATTAAGCTACCTGATCGACACTAGGTGCAAGCAATAGTGTCGTACCGGCCTATAGTAAGTCCGACGGGCTGTGCCAGCCCGGTAATGGTAACATATCTCGGCAAAAATAATCGACAAAAATCGAAGTTTGTATTTTCCATCTTCATAGGTCAATTAGATATATACTAGTGCATCTCAGGTCAATCAAACTACCAAAGATTCAATCAACCCCCCCCAAAAAAAAAAAAAGTCATCGTAGATCTCGCCATTGTCGGTTGTTTCATTTGGACGTTGCAAAACTAAATTGGGATGTTGCACATATTGCATATATATATATATATATATATGCAAGTGTTTTATGTGTTTTATACATATGTTGCAAGTGTTTCATATTGATGTTTGCAATAGCTACACACGTGTTTTTAAGTTTTTTTTTCGTGTGTTTTGTAAGTGTTTCAGACATATGTTGCAAGTGTTTCAACTGTTTTCGACGTATGTTGCAAGTGTTACATCTGGATGTTGCAAAAATAGATCGGGTGTTGCACATGTTGCAATGCGCGTGAGAAGGGGATAGGGCGCGAATGGTCCCTGCGCGAGGTCTAGCGGTGCAGGCGTCGTCCTGGGGCGTGGGCCCACATGGGCACGCAAAATGCAGGCTCGAGTGGGGGTGTGCTGGCCTGAGCACGGGGGACGGAGTGCAGCGCGGGCGTCTGTCCGGACGTCCGGACGCTAGCACCGCCGTTGACTAATTGAGGCAGTTGGATGAGGTTGATTTTAGAGTAAAATGCATGCGGGGTCCTCAAACTTGTAGGTCATTCCTATCAACGTCCTACAACTAAAAAAACAACTACCTAGGTCCCTGATCTATTATCGTTGCGCACCAAAAGTCTCAAACCTGCCACGCCAGCGCAAACAGCCGACGTGGCCGTGCCACAGTGGCAACTGTACACTGTGGCCTTGCAAACTTTCCAAAAACCTCCTATCTTTCATGTCCTGAGCATGGCGGCCATGACCCGCTCCAGGAATAGCGCCGCGCGTGCCCTGGACACCGCTGCCGCCGTCAGGACATGCAGCGCCGCCTTTGTCGTAGAACCAGCGAGCGCGGGCACGCGGGGAAAAGGGCCCGAAGGCGGAGCTGGTGGTGTCGTTTGTTGTCGCGGGGAGGTCTGGAGGTGGCGGAACGCGGGCTGGAGCTCGGGCCGGCCAGCAATTGCGACCACAGCGAGAACGAGCAAGGCACAGGAAGGGAGGGCATGCGGCGAGGTGGCCATGCTCTGGCCGCGGCGCACGGGTGGCACCACAGAAGCGCAGGCTGCGGCGAGCAGGGTGCTGGAACCTCGTCGCGTTCCCGATCTTCTCCTGGCGTTCCGTGACGAGGGCGCTGCCGCGCCTGCTCTTGAACGCATCGAGTCAGCTGCTGCCGGAAGGTGTTGCACGATGGGGAGGCGGACCGCACCGGCTCGCGCAAATATCGCACCGTCTACATCTGGTCGCGATCTATAAAACGCATCTCACAAACGCCACAGCTCTCGCCTCGCCTCGCCTCCCTCAGCGTCTCCCGCGGTGACATCGTGCTCAGCTCTCCTACCTCAACTCTCCGGGAGAATCTATTGCTGGATTCCGTCGAGGTGTCCGTGCGTCTTTGCCATAGCGTGCCCGACCATGTACGAGATGCACCGAGGGTGCCCATGAGGCGGCTCAAGCTCGTCTTCGCCCGACGAGCTTGCCGCTGGTCCGGGGCGTGTTGAGGCAACTCCGCGGGGGCATCGGCGCGCGCGTCGTCCCGTTGAGGACCGCCATGAGAAGGAATTCACCGCGACGCCATCCGGGATCTTGGCGTCGCGCCGCCATCGCGGCGCGGCAGGATCGACCACATCTCGCGGGCGTGCTCATCATGCTCAACATCCCGGCGGCCGATGATACCGCTCAACATTCTCGACGGCGAGGCCAGCCATATCTTGTGTCGTCGGCGGCGAGCATGGCCGAGGATAGTCTTGTAGAGCCATGCCATCATCGCACGGCACGGCTGCTTGCCGCCACCACGGCAAGCCGGAGTGCAGCGGCTACCGAGGCCGATCTTTGAAAACACGCCGCTCATTGTCTGCTCCACTTGCTTCAAAGCTGTCCAGTGCCGCCGACTTCGTGGTGTCGACCAGGGACAGTGTGCAAGCTGCGGTGCAGATTTTGCTCCACCGTCCTTTCCGGTGTTTCTTTCGGATGTGGGAGGGGTGCGTGCAAGTCGCGCGTGCGTGGGGATGGATGGGCGTCCTTAGTTTGGCCTGAGGTGGCTTGCATGGGGCGGGGACTGCGTGGTATTGGTGGCATCTTGCTGATGATGGCGCGCGGCGGCAGCGATTGCCGAACACAGGCGACCGGACGCCAATAATAGGGCGGCGACGGCAAGCGGCTTCGAACGGCCCGTCGTCACGTCTGAGTATGTATCTGTGTGGCGCGGCGCAACATCTGGTGCTCCCCCAATGGCACCTAACCCGGCGAAACACGCCGCAGGCTCGGAAGGAGGAGCATAGAGCTAAGCGCCTTATGTTGCTACTGTTGGCGACAAGTGAGAGAGAGAAAATGGGGCAGGGATTTTTTGGAAAAGTTGGCACGTTCACGTTGTCCAATTGCCACTATGGCACGGCCATGTCAGCTGTTGGCGCTGGCGTGGCGGGTTCTGGACTTTTGGTCCTTAATCGATTGACATCGTGCACCAAAAGACCAGCGGCAGCGTGCCCTCGTCATGGAACGCCAGGAGAAGATCTGGGAACGTGACGAGGTTCCAAAGCACCCCGTCTGCCGCAGCCTGCGCCCCCAGGGTGCCACCGGCGCGCGGCCAGGAGCATGGCCACCTCGCCGCATGCCCTCCCTTCCTGTGCCTTGCTCGTTCTCACTGTGGTCGCAATTGCTGGCCGGCCCGAGCTCCAGCCCGCGTTCTGCCACCTCCAGACCTCCCCGCGACAACAAACGACACCACCAGCTCCGCCTTCGGGCCCTTTTCTCTACGACAAAGGCGGCGCTGCATGTCTGACGGGCGGCGGCGGCGGTGTCCGAAACGCAGCTAGCGCGCTATTCTGGAAGCGGGTCATGGCCGCCATGCTCAGGGCATGAAAGATAGGAGGTTTTTGGAAAGTTTGCATGGCCACAGTGTACTGTGGTACGGCCACGTCGGCTGTTTGCGCTGGCGTGGCAGGTTTGAGACTTTTGGTGCGCAACGATAATAGATCAGGGACCTAGGTAGTTGTTTTTTAGTTGGAGGACGTTGATAGGAATGACCTACATGTTTGAGGACCCCGCATGCATTTTACTCTTGATTTTATACTAGGGTTGTCATTTGATGGGCCTTTAACGGGCCTATACTAATCGTGCCAGTATTACGGGCCAAAAGTGTAGACCAAGCACGGCCCAATGCATCGGCCTGGGCCAGCACGGCCCGTTAACTTTCATGTCATGTCGTGTTCGGGTTGTGTTTAAATGTAGCGTGCCTTGTGCATACCATAAAAGCCCAGCCCATTTGGCCATCTATCAGATTATCACATGCTTGCCAAGCAAATACTTTATACATGCAAATAATGCTTGATAAGTACTGTTGTTAGTCAAAATTTGATCAGAAGAGTTGAAGATGGAATGAAAAATCATGTGCAAACAGAAAAGGATTAAATTTGGATTGAATTGTCCAAGTTTACAAAAACATAGAAAAAATCAACCCAGGTCGGTTTGGGGTCTGCCTGGCTGAAGATTGCTAAAACCAACACAGACCGGTGTTACGGACCTGAGTCGGGACCCTGTGAAGCATATGAACTCACCAAACGCATTCGAGTCAGATGCTTTCTATATGAGATCAGTGTTGTTGACTCACCATGAGTTTGAGGAGGATGTTAGATGTATATATTGTAGTCACTAGAGTAGGGTGTTACTACACTTTCTACATCTCTCTATCTTATAGCCCTTTAGTCGTTGGAATACACCTGAGTTGCAGTTCCTAACATTGCTGATCAGCTATATCCTGATTCGTGAGTAGCCATGGCGGTGGCAATTTCCTGGCCACGAGGAGTCACGCCGCGACCACAAATTATTTCGCCTACGAGGTTACCGAATAAATAGGATCGAGGTTCAGAGTAGCTACACTCTGAAAGGAAACCAATACAGTAGAAAGGGAGTACCTACACTCTGAAAGTAGAAAATGATCGAGCACTAGTCCATCCTTAGAATCAAATAAACGCTTGTTTAGCAGAAGCTTTCGAAGAAGAAGATAGGATTTCCGTCAAAAAAGAAGAAGAAGAAGATAGGATGAGCGCACTCCTGATGAGTGATGATATCCTGCTCCACTTCCTGGAGCGCATATACAGTGTTCCAGGCCAGCGCACTCCTGGCCCTGGTGATGGGCTCATCTCCTCCCTCTCGCTCGCTCATCTCCTGTGCACCTGCACGGTGGATCAGGTATTCAGGTCATGACCGCCTACACAGCATCTCTCCCCTAAATTCAGTAACCTCAGAAATGTTTTGTCTCTACAACATTTTCGTTGAGTGTGACCTCAATTGGACTGACTATATATGTTTGTCCTTGAAGCTGAGCGTCCTTGTTGCCATCAATTGTAACACTTCCCTTTGCCTTCTGACTTTCTCAGACTAATTTGTGGAAGATGTCTCGGTGCTTTGTAATTGCCTAGAAAGAAATCATGGTTATCTATAGTAAACTGCAATGGTTAAATTTAAGCTGACCATATATTTCATTTGGTCATGCAATTTTATTCCCACAAAAGCATAAAAAGCAGGAGTATATTGCTGCATGATAACTTTTACCATATATAAATTGTTTCTGGAACATACATAAGCATATCCGTGAAAAGGAAACAGGAAAATAGGCAGTCAAAGAACCTAACCTACTACTTTGCCTACTGATGAATGCTGACCTAAAACAGGGTTTCGCTTCTCGTGTACTATTTGTTTCTTCGTCTATGTACAGTACGCCAAAACAGGCTGATGACATATATAGATAGCTTTGTGTTGTATCCAGCATTGTAGTGCCAATAAAATAATAATGGCTGCTGGCCTTTTTGCATCACCCAGTATATATGATCTTGTTGGATATGTGCTTCGTTTGATAATTTGCTTGTGGTGAGTAGTGATGCTGGAGTCTTGCAGTTTTCTACAAGTTCCATGATGGCACAGGTCAACCTCAAGTCAGTATGCAGACCGGGTTGAGGCTGCTGATGACACACGCTCAGAGCTCTTCACGTTGTATCGCTCATACACTTTTTCCCGGTTCTCATTCCACCAATTTTCCGCCTGATGCTCACCAAAACGTCTTCGGCTGCGAAAGGTAGATTTTAAGAAAGGCAAGAATTCAAATAAGTTAGACTTTGGAAAGAAATGCTGGCTTGTCAATGTCAGTCAATACAGCAGTCCTGGATAGCTATACAGTATTACTTGCTGCTACATGTAATGGAAAAGGTGCTCGTACGCCTGCTCAGAGAATAATAATGCAGTCTTTATTTCTCTAAAAAGAATGTGCGGTTTGGAACATTTTTGTGTTCAACAATTTAAAGACAAATGCGCTTTAGTTCTTGTTTGGCTGCATGTTCTGAAGTGCCCAGTTACTGTATAGTGTCAGGAAAAGTGAAGTGATGTGAAGAGTGCTAATTTAATAATAAAGCGACTAAAACAATGCAAATGTCAAGATTTGTATGCTGTATATGAAAAATGCAACTGTACAAGGGATTAGTCCACAAAACAGAGATAAATTATAGCTAAATCACCTGAAGCGAACCCTCTTCAGATCCCGGGTCCCATCATGGAGGGTTGTGAGTGTTATGTATACGCCGGGTTCATACTGCTCGATCCATTCGGCCTGAACTTGGTTGCATGGTAATGATATCGTGCCTCGAGGCTTGTAGCCATCCTCACCGCTTTGAAGGGACATAGCATCCATGCTCACATTATCATCCACTCTACTGCCTGCTGTCAGCATCTCATCGCTGCTGCTGCGTGCTCTTCGATTAGGAAGCTCTGAGTCGTGAGGACTGGTAATTCTTAGGCTGTGAGTGCTGCAGTCACTATGTTCACTCACATTACCCAGTAATTTATGTTGGCCTGAGATTCCATTGCAATGCGATGATCGTCCAGAGCTTGGACTATGTGCAATTGAAGCATTGAGCAACTCATTCCGTGTCTGGTGAATTCCATTCATGCTAGAGTAGCTAGCAACATGTGACTCAATGCCATTCGGAATATGTGATTGCTTTGTCTCATTGACACTATAGGCCCCATGATCTGGTGGTAATCTCTCAGCCATATCCTTCAGCTACACAAGTCAGAAAAAGGCACACGACAATAAGGATTTAACATTTGTTAAAACAACATACCCACTCATGTATTTAGTTATCTTAAATATACAAGTGACTCCAGTTAACATTTAGCAGGTTCTTTGTAGCAAAGATGATTGTGACAGCATATAGAAATAACACACATCCGTTCCGACACTGTTCTTCCCAGAAAAAGAAAAAAGGAATTTAACGACAAGACACTGTTCTAGAAAGCGATTTTCAAACATTGAAAAACTTGACAAGTTGAGTATTTTGTTAGTTGAGTCAGTAAAACATCACAAACCATGAGAAACTAGCAAAATATTAGATTTTACCTGAGCGGTTAAAGATTTTATAACTTCTTTTGCAGCTTTGGATTTTGCAGATTCTTCGGCAACCAGTGTCATGGCCTCTTGTACCTTTTTTGCTGATTTTTGAAGCTCAAGTTCTTGAAGCTCGCAACGATTTCTCAGGTTATCAACCTAATAATGGATAAAAGTACTAATTGTTGCTACATGATAAACATCAAAAAACAAAGGTTCTGCTGAATAATGAGGAATACACACCTGTGCACCCAGTCTTTCAACTTCCTGATTTAAGAGCTCATTTGCTTTAACAATATTATCAGTAGCACTTTTTGAGAGAGAAAGACCATGGGCTGTTGGAACTGGTGTAGTAGAACGTGGTGGACTGGGCTTGCGAGAGAAAGGGGAAACAGCTCTTGAAGTAGTAACTGACCGAGCTGCAGATATGCGTACTGCTCTCGGAGCTGATCTGTTCATGCCCAAGCCACCAGATAAAGCAATATCACTCAGCTGCAGGAGCGAACTAACTTGAGGATTCCGGAGAAATGATAGCCCATCAGTTTTCTTCCCTTGCCGTGCTGCCTTGATATCCAAATTTCGAATCATATCCATATTACTAGGCAAACTAGCCTTTCCTACTTTAGCATCACCATTGCTTTCAACAGGTTGGTAGGGAACAGGGTCTTTCCTCCGGTTAGCTGCATTAGGATCCGAGGCATTATTCAACTTCAAGAAACATGAATCACAAACACGGTAAGGTTTCCCAGGACTAGGAGCCAGTGCTGCTCTCAAAGCCTTCCGCGAGGTGCAGGCATTGCAATGGACAAGTCCACAATTATAGCAGTTACGCCTCTTTCGAGTAAACCCAAATAGCTGTCGACATGAGGAACACTGTGATTGGTCAGCTCCAGAAACCCATTTATATTGACAAATAGCAGCAGTGAAGTTTGCACCACAGGCTATGTACCTAACAGCTCTATCTTTCAAGGCTTCAACCAGTGTAGGCACCTTCCGATCCTCTATGTCTCCATGACCCAATCTTCCATTAGCTCCCTTTCCCCATGTAAAAACTTCATTCCTACCTGTCAAAACTGCGACATGGTAGGAGCCACAAGCAATTTGGATAACTTGCTCACCCACAATTTTGTCTTCAACTAAACAAGGTATCCTTCCATCTGAATGAGGATTTCCGAGCTGACCATAAACAGCATTACCCATGCTCAAGACTTGTCCAGAAGTTGTCAAGGCAACAGTAAGACTGTGACCACATGCTACCCTGTAAAAATCATGATCAATAAGCGTAGCCATGCAAGTCGGCTTAAGTCGAGTTTCTTTGTCACCATGACCAAGTCGATGCTTGTCACCATCTCCCCATGTGAACAGCTTTCCAGCAGATAGTTTTACACTTGAACTGGACCGAGTGACAATAACCTCCACAATAGCTGCAGTGTGCCATACACCACATGCCACAGCAATTGTTTTCAACCCTGATAGTGACTCTACCTCCCTTGGGTAAGAAACATTTTTCAGATCTCCGTGGCCTAATACACCAAATGAACCGTCCCCAAAGGTAAACAATTGGCCCATGGATGTTATCAAGGCTGTATGCCAGGTCCCACACGAAACATAAGCAACTTGAAGAACATCCAATGCTCCAGAAACCCTCTTAGGTATCCAGTGTCCTACATCATTGCCATGCCCGAGAAGCCCAACATTGTGAGTTCCATCTCCCCAGGTATAAAGCTCACCCGTTGTTGTAACAGCACAAGTATGAAATTCCCCACAGGCAACAAAATCTACATTGGAAACTGTCAAAGACTCAACCAGACGAGGGCGAACACAATCTTCTCGTGTTCCATGGCCAAGGCGGCCTCCAGAATCTTCACCCCATGTAAAAACCTCACCATTTTTCATGACCAATGCAGCATGCTTAACCCCACAATCTACATGATACACATCAAGAACTAAATTGGACTCCAATGGCTTCGGGAGGAGGATGTCAGTCCTGCCAGTTGAACTAATTACAGTATCAGAACCAGTTCGTAATGAAGTATCGCAGACAACCTCACCCCATACATACACATCCCCTAATGAATCACATTCATCTTGTGCAGAACCATGGCTAGATGTACTTGGGGCGCTAGAAATGCTTGCTCTGAGAACATCTGAAGATGATCCTTTTGTGAGCATATTGTTGCATCTGCTCACAATGCAACCATAAAGCTAGTAGAGTAGTACCAATGTAGAAACAGAATCACTACTGCCAGTGATGTAGCGCAACAATGCTGAGTTGATGATAGAGGTGCTAGAATAAAGTGGGCATGACAAATACCTACACATATTTAACAGAAATGCATAAAAACACTGCAGAAGAGCAAATTGGAGAACAGGTAAAACTTTATGCAAAAGAAAAAGGGCAGAAAGGTATGTGCACATTGAAGAGTACGGTACTACATCCAAACTAGGTGTAAATAAGAATAACAAGTTTTCCCAGCAATATCCAGGGAAAAATCCAAATCAATTATTAAATATAAATAAAGGTCGATTTTAGAATTGATTAACAATTATTCTGGATAGGACTTGACCAAGCTCGCACCTTTCACTGCCAGAACATATCATGAACAGACCACATTCAAATTGGATAAATCAGATAGTGCCCTATGACTCCATTGAAATTGGCCAAATAAAAACCACCATGTGTATAACTATTACCAACAGTTACTGGACAGAAACCATAACCGCCAGCTGACCAAGATTTTGTAAAAGCAGAATGAAACCCTGTCCCAGAACCATGATAGAAGAGTTCACCAAAAGGGATAAGCCTGCTAAATTTTACACATATATCTTTATGAAAATAGCTCCTCTGATATTTAAATGAAGTGACTCCTTGTAATCAGACTTGATGAGCATCAGACAAGTAGGTTTCACATTTTTGTATTAAAAAACTGGGTGAATCCACAATGTATGCCAACAAACAATTTAATGCTGGCAACTTGAAATACTCCACTACATCCTTTTATTCCCCCAAGATAACCATAATCTGCACACCAACAGAAGCCTAACTTCAATGAAGGTGTGGGCGTGTGGCAAACTGGCAACATGCCAACCGTCAGCATCACATTTTTTTTTTGTCTGTGTGAGCACTTCTAATGGCATCGTCTATTGACATGTAAATCCACACCACCTGGTGCAATCTAAAAAAAAACAAGATGATGCAAACAGAGAAAGCATTCCTCAGCCAAGTAGCTTAGCAGTACATTAGCATCGCAGCTAAAATCATCAAGTCGTGAAGACTGACAAATGCAGACCCGAACTGCATTCAGGCAACTTTCCTCCCAACGTTACCAAACCAAATCGGTATCAGGCGTGGCTGTAATATGTAAACTACCTACTCAAATTGCCGAGAAACATTAACGACAGAACCGCAGGGACTAGAAATCCGGAAAATCGACACACTAGATTCTGCCAGAAATGCGAGAAGGAGCCCCCTTTCTGGCGAAACAGCGAAAAGAACCAAACTTTGCAGAGGAACGAGAAAGATTCGCGTACCACACAAGCTCCTGGGGGTGACGAAGCGTCAGGTCTCCACGCTCCCAAGAGGGGAAGAACTCTCCTGCCCCTGACGGCTGCCGCACTCCCTACAAGATGGGATCCACCCGGCCGGAGGCCGGAGCGCCGCCGGAAGCCGGGAGGACGCCGGCTGGCGTGCACCGAGGATGGATGGAATCAATGCGCCTGCCAGCTCCCCCCTCTTCCCTCTCTCGCTTTCTCACCTTGTGTGCTGTTGATCACGAGGGATGTGCTCCCCCTGTTTGTTCTTTCTTTCCTTCTCTTTCTACGCCTCCTCTCCCATTACTCACCTCACCCCGTTCCTGCTGCTTTCTTTCTCCTTTTGGGTACTCCGGCTCACCCGGCGGAGATGTTTGTACTCATCTCCCCCACATGGCCATGCCCACGCCCATCCATCTTGTTTGTGCTCATGCTTTGGACTCTTCACTGTGCTTAGCTTGTTTTTCTAAGTGCTCACTTGACCGTATCTGCTGGCCTGGCTTGTGACTTCTCACAAGTAGCCAGCTGGTCGTTAGTCTAGGGAATAGTCCGTTTTTTATGCTGTTGGTATGATCGAGTTGCTCCTCCTGTAAATGCAATTTTATTCCTGCGACGGGCACTAGGCCAGGGGTTTGATTACTGTTGATCAGATCTGAATGAATGGTCTTGCCCACTCACTAACAGACAGACACATCTGCTTCTTTGCTTCTGAAGAAACTGTTGTACATTTGTACTATTATTGTTTGGCTTGATGCCAATCTGATGATGATAAAGATCTAGCAGCCTCTCTTTAGTATATGTAGAATTTAGAAAAGGAAAAAATGGTTTTGACATGTACCAATAGCTAGTATAGCTCGAGTCGGTGACTAGATAATTTTGTTTACACATAGAATGATTAACAAATGCTGCTGTAATTAATTACCTATCTGATGAGGTGGTGTTGCTTCTGAGAAGATTAAGTTGGTGTCGCACCGGTTTCAAGGACAAAACCAGATACACATCATATGTGAGTCTAGAAAGTCAAACCTCACATATAATTATAAATAAATGTAATATCAATATACAATGCTTAATATATAACATACTTAGTATAAAGGACGTAACCTTAGATAACAACAGCGGAAAAGACAACTCTGATCTTCGGATGAGGACTCCAATTCCACATGGACAACTGACTGGTTGATCACAAGCCTAATTCCTCCAAACTCTAGCAATCTGGTACCCATCCGGGATTTTTATCCAAATAATTGAAAAATAAAGCAAGCGTAAGTTCATGTCGTACTCAACAAATACAACATAGGGTTTATGAGGCTCAAAAGGCTGATGCTGGTTTAACTACGATTAGCTTTTAATTATCACAATTTTAGCATAGAAGTAGCAACAAGTTTATCACAAGCCCATATAAACACATGATCAGGTAAACATGAATAATGAATAGCATAAACAATAATCATTAATAAGCATCTTTATCATTAGTATCATCAGTGTTCATCATCTATTCCGTAAGGGTTCCAAGGCCGTTCGTGACCGTGAGAATGGCTGATATACCAGTTTTATACTATGCAGAGGTTGTACACTTTCACTATGAGTCGTGATTTACCCTTTCGTCCGAGGTGATCAGCCTCTTGACCCACTACCAAGGTAGGTTGGTAGGGTTCACTATGAAGCTTTTCAAAGGTTCGTCCAATAAGTTAGGGCTGTTAGGTTTCCCTATCAATAAGCATAAACTCCTCTCCAAGAAGTGACTAATAAAAGACTAAGAAATCAAAATGCACTCAACCTGACAGGCAAAGGTCATACCTGTCGGAGCCCTTCTTGCGCCATAAAGGTAACCACTAACAAGCTAGAAAAAGTCCTCATACTTGACTAAAGCCAGAGCCATGTGACCCTCACTGTTGTACTGTAAGTCCCGGATAATCACTTATAGATAAGTCCTTAGGAAGAGAAATCTAGAGCACCATAAAAACATCCCAATGCTCTAGCCCCTTATTCTATGTTGCTAAAAAGCATCTTTTAGTGTTTATTTCATATACCATTAGTCAAGTTACAAGATCGTGACTTTAGTTGAGCACTAGTATTATACTACCCAATGCAATACCCCATAGATATCAAGGTACAGGGTAATAAAGTATTAGGAAATCTTTAGTGGTAGTCAAGGTAGACACATGCAGTATGAATTAAATGATTAAAGGTATATAGGACAACAAGGAAGATCCCATGCTATACTTGCCTTAAACTCAGATCCTTCTTCTATTGAATTATAACCTTCAAAGGACTTCTTTTGGATCATCAACTTTTTTTATATCACCAACGCAAAGCTCATCGACTAGACATGATTATAAAGCACCACACAAGCATCTATGCAATTATAGACGAAGCAAACAATAGATCTAAATTAGAACACTACACCTAACATAAAATTCAAGATGAAAAGTTTGTAAAACGAATCTACGTCTCGCTACGAACACACATACGCGAAAAGCACTCTAATCGGAGCTATAACGAAAAAGTTACGAATTAAACAAGATTTCCTTTGATAAAACAATAGATTAAATCTAACATCAAATTTCAAAAGTTAAAAACATGTTTAATAATGGGATGAACATGTAGATTACCAAATTACAAATCTAACGTAACTTGAACGGGTCAAATTGGAGTTAAAACGGAGAAACTACGCATAAAATAAGATCAATGGTAATTCTGTAAATATTTTGAAATCAATTCCATATTAAAAATAATTAAAAACCGAATTAAAACAGTCGTGTGGACCGGGCGTCATTTTTGGAAAAGTTCAAGAGTCAAAACAGATAAACCAGGGCCATATTTTTAATTACTTTTAAACTACTCAGGACGGCGGGTTAATTTCTAGAAAAGCTGGGGTCTCTTTAGCAAAATTTTCGAGCAGTCAGCGCGGTCGCTGGCATGGCGCACACGTGGTGACAGGTGGCGGTCTCTGAGTGGCTAGACTACGGTGAACTACTGACGTGGCCTGCTAACGCGAATGGTGCGCTTGGTCCATACTGTGCTGTGCACCAGAGATGAATCGGTAAGCAACGATCTAATCCGAGCCGTCGGTGGAGAGATGGACAGCTGTGGGTATACTGGGAGAGATGGTCACCGGGGTGGCGCTCTGGCATGGCGGTGTGCCATGGTCGACGGCGAGGGAGTCACCGGCGACACTCGGGTTTCCAAACTAGACATCCAAAAACCACGGGAAAAACACGGGACGACGGCGGAGGCTACTACGAACTCATCTGTGAGGTCGACGAAGGAGTTAATGCACTGGAGACGGTGGTGATGACGACGGGTCGGGTCGGAAACTACAGTGGTACTCCGGCGAGCTCTAAAACGTGAAAGAGAGAGAGAGAGAGAGGAAGGATACAGACTGCACGGGCGTCTTGCTTACGTCACGCGCAGCTTCGGGAAGAGCTCTGGTCAACGATTGAGCAGTGAAGCTTTGGCCGGTCGGGCCACAGACGGCGACAGCTAGGGTTATGCGAGGGGCGACGGGTGCTCGGGATGGAAGCAGCGCGTGCGGCTTGATATTTATGGGGGCAGGGAACTTGGAGTACACGGCAAGACGCGAAGGCAGGGGCAGCGCGGTCTCCTCGGCGGCGGCGGTTTCCTAACCTAGGATGGAG